CCTAGCCAGTTTGTTACACAGAAGTTATATGCAGTGTTATTAAATTATGAAAGAGGAGGAGGAAACTACATCAACTAAACATAATGGATTTGCCTCGTGCGGACGCTGATTCACACAAACCAGCTAAGATAATGTGAAGAAAGAGCAGGAAAATTTGAACACTGGCTAGACAACTGACAGTGAAGACATTGATTCTGTGTGCAATAACTGTATTGCATATTTTTTAAAAATTCATTGATGTATACAAATACTGGATATAGTACCTGTAGATGAATCACAAGACCAATGTCTTGGATTTACCCCAAAGTGATGCAGAATAGACTGAAGGTAAGGTAAATGGAAGCGCAGAGGAAGGACGACCGCCTCCTGCGAGCAGCTGCATCCGTCAGGAGATGGGTGTTTGTTATACTGAAGCATCTCACACACGGTCTGCATCTGCATTTGTTTACACTTCAAATGGTTCTACACTAAAAATGTAACAAACCATCCAAGAACAACGAGATTTAAGAAAACCTAGAGCGAAAACCAAAGAAGGAAAGCAAGCATCTGTGATTAAAGAAGCCGAGCTTGTCTATGGGTTTTCAGGAAATGGCTTTCAGGAATGTGGGCTCAAAGCACCTGAGCAGTCAGCCATGCCTCTCCATGTTTGGTGTTGGGACATGTTTGGAGGTGTCCCATGTTGGGGGTATTTTGGTACACTCACAGCTCTCTCCATTTCTAGTTTATCTGATAGGATCTAAATCTCATTAGGCGGTGGGTGCTACTTACTCCTCTCTTTCCAAATATATATGTATTTTTAACTTTTCAGGACATTTGGAAGCAATGTTAGAGTCTTGTAATCTTCCCTTTCTTCTCACAAAATGACATTTTTTTCTTGCTGCTGAATTCATTCAGCGATGTCCCAGGAATAACCTATTTTAATCACCTCCCACAAGAGAAGGAAGTGAGGTAACAGATATTATTTGGAACAGAAGTGAAAACAGTATAAAACTTTATTACTGACATGCTTATTTAACTATTATATGCAGTCCGTTTCTCAGCACACAGCGCTTTTTAGGAAAAAGGAGAGAATGATGTCATCCTCTCTGTACTTTGCCTTCCAATATCTGCCTGGTATTGAATCTATGCTAACCTGGTATTGCCTTAGACTTAACAAAATTGTGATTTGCTTTCAATTAAAAATTAAGTAACGTGGAGTCTTAGGGTAAAATGCCACCTGATACACAGCTATGGAAAGTTTTCTCATGTTCAAATATTTCTGAGAGAAGTAATGCCGAACCTTCAGCTCGTTCTATATATAATGACAGTACAGAAGGGTTCTTGACAAAAAACCTTAGTTCTAGCACGGGGAGACAAAACTTGACACCTGAAGGAGCTTCCACCAGGAGACAAGAAAACACCTAAGTTGCAAGGGCAGAAAAGAAAGTCACAGGGAGAAGAGACAGAGAGCGCAAGCCCTCTTTACCTCACGATTGGGGCAACACTCTGATTCATTTGAATGTGCCAATGCTGTGTCTCTATGAGGAGTAAAACCTGAAGTTATCACCAGTCTCTGCCATGTAATCAAGATAAAGGAGCTGCCATTCTTTGGGGATGAATGTAATCCCATGGCCTCTTTTCTCTGTCCAAGCACACCCTTTATCTGAAGTTTTGCAAGCAATGTTGCAAAAATTATTACCAGTGGGTACAGTCGCTTCGTAGTTCATGGTCTTAATTGAATTGCAAGTGGAAAATAGTTGCATGATCTACTTTTTGACAAAGTCTTTTCTTAGTCAACAGCATATGTATGTATGATGTATTCAGAATATTTGAGACTTTGGTGTGACCCTTTAAATGTAAGGAAACAAAATGAAAAGAGTAAAAGTTAAAACACATCCATGTGCAATCATTTGTGCAAAAGATGGTGAACTGACAACTATTTGTACAATTAACAGAGCTCAGAGAATACAGATATTTCACACTCTAGCTTAGGAACTAAACAATTTGTGGTCATGTTGCTTGACCAGAAGCAAATGTTTTCAAAACATCATGCTTCCAGACATTCACCTGAAGTTGCTCTTGAGGCTCAGAAAACGTGTAAGACAGTCTCCCCACCCTGTCTTAGAAAAAGTCTTTAAAAGTCAGTGATCCTTCCGTTCTGTGCACTAATGGTTTTATTAGATTAGGGCCTCTGATCTCCAAATTACTGAGCTGACATTTTATTTAAAGGTGATCCAGGAAGCACTGCCCACTGTTGATGGTGCTGCCTTTTATGAACTGCTTGAAGAAGGGGGAGGGGAGGACTTAGTTGATGGGGTAAGAAGACAGCTTTTCATTGTTTTAAATTAAGGCAAAAACTGTCTAAACTATTTTGTAAGTTGACTTTAACACAGATTCTTCTTTATATCTCTGTGGTACTCAGTTTAGTGACTGAGTGAGACAACTCACATTTCCTCTGTCTCTGCTAAACACTTGCAGATCCCAGGTGACTTTCTATGTTAACAGAACATTCAGGATTAACTAATGCTGACCATCAGGTCTAGGCCCACATGAAAGGTTAAAGGAGGCAGGAATGGCATCCATATAATCTGTTGATGAATGGGATTTTACCCTTGTGAGACTTGGGTGAAAAATAGGCAAACAGGGAAATGGGGAGGAGGGGGTCAGGCTTCACTCCCCATGGCTGTTAACCATAGAGCAATGCATTTGTTCCATATGTTCATTTGCTAATGTGACCACTGGATCCAGGCAATGTGCTTTTACATAATTCCTGAGTTATTAAAATTTTGATTTCTTAGAGTTAATTCCTTACATCTAAGGGGTGGGGGTGGGGGTGTGTATGCATATGTACACCTGCATGTGTGCATGTGTGTGTGTGTGTGTGTGTGTGTGTGTGTATGTGTGTTGTGTGTGTGTGAACTACCACTAAGTTCAGGAAGAAAATTAGTTCCCCTGAGAAAAGCATCTTTGCATGTAGTCAGCTCCTTGCTCTAGAGCCCTTCCCATGGTTTCGGCCCATTAAGCGGAGCACAACAGCTTGATGAATTAATGCTTATATAGGCACAGTTGGCAGCTTCTAATTAAATAATTATGGCTAAGCAGCTGCACGGAAGCAGTTATGCACCCTAGAAAGCCAGCTGTCAGTTTTATTGGTCCTAAGACAGAGGAAGAGTTAATACCTAGCTCTGAATGCTGGGTACAAAAGGGAAGTCTAGGATTTGCAAAATAAATGCTGTTAGTATGAAGTCCCTGTGCATTGGCGCTAGCCTATCCATGGAGACATGGAGAGCAAACTGACGCTCAACAGCTCAGCAAAGGAAGCAGCAATTTTATGGTCAGGAGATTGGAATATTTCCAGAGCATTCTAAAGAGGGCATAGTGTCAGACAGATAAGCCCTTGACGAACACAGAAGCACCCCTGACCTAGATGGCAAATGCATCAGTTAGGTGGGTAAGTGACTGAAAGTCGAGTGTACAAACCTGCATTTGAACTACCTTTAAAGCAAATTTTCCCCCAAAAGTTTGGAGAAGGCATATGTTCTACAGAATCACAGAAAGTGTTAGCTCCTTACAGAGGGTTTAAAAATCTAGAATCTTATCTCTGTATTCATTGCCAGACAGAAGAAAGTAGTATTTGTTGATTGAGCTTTGGTCTAAATGACGATCTAAAGATCATAATTAGGGTCACTGGACCAAGTAATGTTTGCTACTCCATACACATCAGTAAGCTTTTGGGGACTGATTTAATTTTTCTTCATGGGCCATCTTGTCCGTGCAAGCCAAACATCCTTATTTCTGAGTAGATATGTGATGACCCAGTTTGAAGAAACGTCACATCTCATTGGCTTCTCTACCTACACAAACTCTAAATGGAGAAGCACATCTATAGGCAACGCCTGGCCCAAGAAACTCAGTCTTCCCTTTATACTTAAAGAAATGTAGACAACGTAATCCTGACTTCTGAAATCGCTTTAAAATCAGCATAAGGAAATAGAATGTTAACACTGAGAACACAGTCTTTATGGAATGAACTCAACACCAAAGTCCAAATCCTGTTGAAACTCAGCAGTTAAATCACGCATCACACCATATAGGCCAATTGACTGTTCTTCCTGCAAAGACCAATGGCTTGTATTTCACAAAGCCTTTCTGTAAAACAAAGCAGTCCGCACCAGAAGTCCACATTTAAGCAAAATGACACAGCCCTACTTGAAAGGCGCTGGCAGTCACATCACCTCACATATAATACTGACTTTTGTTTCATGTCAGGAATTCGATCTACCCAGTAGCTGAGGTGTTTGCATGTGATTGGCAATTCTCAGGGACCTTGTTCATTTTAGGTGGGTCTTAAACAAAGTTCAGCTTAATTAAGCCTGCAATACAACTCCAGTCTCAGTAGAAAATGTTAAAGAACCAAACAACAGATTTGCAAAGCCCATAAAAGTGAATTTCAGACCTGGGGGAAATGGGGGCTTTTCAGCAGTCTGCACTGCCATCTAGCCAAGCCCACATCACTCTGTACACCATCCATTTGCCTTCTGAAAGTCACTGATGAAAGGAAGCCTGCAGCAATCAGCTTCACAGACCCCAAGAGTTTAGCCAAAAGGACTGGCAGTAGTCCCTCATCCACCCTGACTCCGCAAAAACTCCAGACCCTGTGAACCAACAGCCAAGCTGTAGTCAGCGATCTTACAGTTACAAACCACTAGCAATCTTATAGTCACAAATCACCATCTAGAAGAAAAAGTCGTACATGCTTGTTTATAAACTCTTCCAGCATCATTGGTCCCTTCTAATTTTTGAAGTCTTACTATCCCGTGACCTCATTGGAAATAACAAGAAAGATTCCTCCAGGATCCTTAAGGCATAAAAACTGAACCGTAGGCTTCAGGACTCTCTAGTTTTAGCATAGCTACAATCCCAAATCAGTATCCTTCGATGATTCTAGCAGAGCATGAGACCACAAACATCTGTGATGAGAAGTCGAATACACAAAAATAAACAAAAACCTTCCTACTTACGATAGAAGACGTATTCGGTATAGCTTGACCAGATCTTGTCCTCTGTATACTGGTTGACAAAAGATGCTGTCACCGAGGAGTTACAGGCCACCATGTGGAATCCACACTCTGACAACATATCAAAAGCTCTTTCCAGATGCTTGAACTTGAGATAAAATCTGGAGGTGTATCTTTCCGGGGCTCGGTCTGGGTCTCTGCTTTCATTCAGAGTTTCTCCAAAGACTTCCTTTGCCAATGAAATCCTTCCGCAAACCAAAATCCGGGGAACTCTTCGAAACTTGGCATCTGCTTGCCCCTCTCTGCCCAAGGTACAGGATCCCCTGTAACCCACAGTAATAAAACCCCACTTGCGGTCATGAGGGAGCAGTGAAGAGGGGGGGCAGATTCTTGTGTCGCTTCCTTGGGAACCATCCTCAAAATCGCTGTGGCAGAACTCATCTGGGCTTTGCTTGACTTCCTCGGGGGCCAGGAGCTTGACCAGGTCGGGTAGCTGGAAATACTCGGCCTCTCTTTTCAACCTTCCCCTTTCTGGAAAGTGGTCAGGCAGGACGACCTGTCTGTCCCTGAGATAGTCCAGAATATAACGGAACAGGAAGCCATCCCTGTCGATGAAAAACCTTCCCTTGGAATCCTTGGCTAGATCGTTAGCGTTGTCTCTCTTTGGGGAAAACATTTTCCACAAGAGGGAATGGGGGATGCTTATTAATGTGGAATGGCGGGTGAAGTAAACTTGGCCTCCAACGTTCAGCTCTATGACTTCAGGGAAGGAGTTGGGAACCGCAGCCCCCTGATCCCGAGGATAGTAACGATTACAGTTCCCACTCAGAGCCATTGTCCCTTCTTCTGCAGCTTCCCGGACTTAAAGGTGCAATCCAAGCCAGTTACAGCTTTGTATCCAGTTGTAAGCGAGGGAAAAGGTGCTAACTTGCTCAAAATGACCTCCTCTCACCCCGGTTTTGTTCTTTATTCCCACCCAACAAGGCAAATTTTAGAAGAGTCCACAGGTGAAGCAATGCTGGACAAAAAGTTTAAAGGAACGTAATGATCAGCTTGGCTACATTTGTTCTTCCTTTAGGACGGGGAGGCAAGAAGGCCAAGTGCCCAGGTACTCAGAGGTCTGTCTGAGGGAAAAGAGAGAAATTATTTCCTCAGACCCAGAATGAGTCAGAAAAGGAGAGACCTCTGGGGAGAGCAGAGAGGGAGAGAGGGAGGGAAAACGGCAGGGAGGAGAATATTTTTACATAAGCAGCCGGAAACTATTGACTTTAATCACTCCTTAACGGAGTTAGCGCTTCCCTCAGCCTGCCCTGCCTTTAAGTTTAGCCCTGTGCCACTGCCTTCAGCAGCTGCTGCTCACACCGAGCCTGCTTGTAAATCTGATGTCAAAGGCATATGCAATTTTCAACTTCCAAAGAGACACCCCCCCCCCTTTTTTTCAGCAGAAGCGAAAAAGCGGTGAGTCTCGGCGCTTACCTTAGCTAGGGCTGGAGACTCAGTTCTTGCGAAGAAATAACCTTTTCCAGAGCAATCGGAAACTACAGCCACTGGGTCTGGATCTCTCGTCAAATCCCAAACAGGTAAAGGACAGAGGTATCAATGAAAAGTGCCAGAGAGATGTGCTCTCAGAAATAAACGATTCCGCACTTACGCGCTCCTAGATGTGCGTTTGTGTATATATGTATGTGTGTACGTATTCACTCCCAAATCTCTAGTTAAAAGGGATCGAAAAAAAAAAAAGTTGATCCGTGAGAGGGCTGAGTCGAAGAAGTGAAGCAAAGAAAAGATATTCAACCAAAGCTTCGGCAAGGGATTAAAAAAAAAGAAAAGAAAGGAAAAACCAAGATCCAAACCTTTAGAAACAGATCCTTTACACCTGGGAGAGTTACAAGAGGTACCTGGACTTAAAGGCGTTCAAAGAGCCCGGAGGCAGAAAGACAGACAGAGGCGACCGGCCAGGGTCTCAGCAGCCACCCCACCTGCCGGCAAGGGCAAAGGGACGCCCATATCCCCGTTAGGTACCAGCGAGAAGGAGCCGGGTCGGCAGGGAGATGCCTGCGGGGCTCGGGCTCCGGAGCAGGAAGGTCCCACGGTGCCAGGAGCAGTTCGGATGCTGTTGTGTGAGCAGTGCAGGCAAGAAACCATCCAGGGAAATGACTATTACATCATCTTAAAGGAATAGGGCTTGGAGAGAGCGGAGGCAGCTTGGAGTCACGTCCTCGGCGGTGACAGGTTGCCAGCGCTGACGGGGACGTGGCGCCCGCGGTGGGCACTGAACGGGAGATGCTGGCTGCTGGCGCAGGGCGGGGATGCTGCACTGCACCGGCCCCCGTCCCGCCTGTGATCTGGAGTTTGCACAAGCCACCTCTGGGCTCTTTCTTTCTTGTTTCCAACTCCACCCTCCACCCCCTCCCCCATTAATTACCCTCCACACTGGCAGTGATTTTCATCTGAAAAACCTCCGGACGTGCTCTTCAAATGCATGAGTCTGCAGAAGGGCGCACGTCTCCCTCTAAATCATTTTCCTTTTAATCAGAGTAATGTTCAAGTTACAAGTGTTTTGGATTCTTTTTAAGCCTTTGATTACAGTCATATTCATTCAGATGTTGTTTCCCCTTCATTTCTTCGGCCAGCACACACACACACACACACACACACACACACACACACACATGCAGAATTGAGGGTGATCTCTCAAAATGATTATTCAAATGTCCATAAAAAGCTTGGAGTTTAGCAGTAAGTCACTGATCTTGACTTACCTGTAAGAAACTGCTACCTGCAACCTGTTCTGAGGCTTCCTCCTGACTGAGACTCTCTTTGGTTGCGCCTGCCCGTCGTCCCAACCCATCCCAAGAGTACTCCTGTGGAAGACACGCCTGCTAAGAGACGTTTTACCCCTGTCCCAGAGGACTCCCTTAAGTGCATCATTAGAGTTTCAAGAAGGCATTTCCAGGGCAACCTAATACACTAACGAAGTGCTTCCAGTTGAGCCTGCCAGTCAATAATGGCCCAGCCAACCGCTTACAGTAAGTCCGTCATTTCCCCTTAAAATGCCAAAGTCCTGGACTCACATCCCTGGTAAGAAAGCACTTTTTCATCAATGAATAATACAGGTGAGGCACAATCCAGCCCAAACAACCTCTAGTTTAAAAGCTGAAAATCAAAAATTGGAAGTGAACATATGAGTTGAACACATTTGAGGAGATTCCTGTGTTCACCGACAACTTCTGCACCATTAATTAGCTTGAAAATCATCTTTCAACAGCAGACTAAATTAATTGTGTTTGTGTGTGTGTGTGCACGCGCGTGCACGCGCGCTTAACAAACCTTTCTTTCAATAACCACTTGGTTACTGAACACACTCAGAAAATTAGCTCACTCCCAACCCCTTATTATATTTGATTTTGCTGCTTTAACTAACGCATTAACCTGCCCTCTCTGGCCTCCACTGCCTCAATTTTAAAGCTGGATCATTTAAGGTTTATTATGTGATGCGCTTCTATCGCCATCTAGTGACCAGAATTATCAGTGCAAGTCGGTATCAGGAAATTTAGCTCAGTTAAAAATGTTACCTATTTTTAAGTTTTTATAGGAAACTAAATTTATTTTATATTCATTATTCACCATAATGAGAAAACAAACATTTCGTTTTCACTATTTCAGGGGAAAATCTGGATCTGAGGCTTCACCTAATTAAGTATTGCTTTGGGTGAATAAGAAAGCAAGTGAATGCTTGGCTTCTGTTGCTACTGATGATGTTGAGACAGGTCAATTGTGACCCCTGATACTCCTTCCTCTTCCAGGAGCTGAGGTTAAAGGCACCACCACACCTAACCAGTGTGTGTGTGTGTCGCATGCACACTCATGGTAGTGGGAATGGCCCCTCATGTGGACAGCAAAAGCTCTACCCATGAGATCCATCTTCATTCTGAGTCTGTGTTTTAATGTTTAAAAATGTAACAGCACATTATGAACATTTTTTCATAGCTCAGGTCCTAAAATATTTTCTTCATTATGTATTCAAGACGAGGGGTAGGGAGGAGAGCTGATAAGAAAACAAAAATTTCAAGATTATTATACATTTTAATGACAAGTCATTTTAAAGAGTTTCTAATATTAACTTAAATCGCAAAGCTAAAAGATTCTACAATTACAAAGAAAAATGTTCTCCATTCAAATAAGAGAGGATTGGCCTGGTGTGGTTTAATTAAGCATGCCTTTAATCTCAGCACTTGGGAGGCAGAGGTAGATGTGTCTATGTGAATTAAAGGCCAGCCTGGTCTACATAATAAGTTCCAGGACAGTCAGAACTACACAGTGAGACACTATCTCAATAAAAAAAAAATAGGTTGGGGGAGGATTTGTCTTTGTTTCATTGGTTAGGTTGTTTTCAGATCAGTCATTCATTTGAAAATGATAACTATTATTACTTAATTGTACCTATTGATGGGTTTAGAGCGGTTTCTATTGTGTACATTGCACTTCCCAATCGTACTCTTAGCCTTTCATCTTCCTCCCTTCCCCACGTCTGTAGGTGTCTCTATTGCTTCCTTACACTCTTTCTACCTTCAGATCATCTTCAGAAATAAGTCCTTGGAGGAGGGTTGAAGGGGAGGGGAGAGGCAGGGAGGGGAGCAGAGAAAATGTAGAGCTCAATAAAAAATTATTTTTAAATTAAAAATAAAAGTTTTCAAATTTTATTCTAGGTTCCACATATGACAAAAAATGTGATAGAGTATGTGATTTCTAGGTCTGTCTTACTTCACTTAACACGATGGCATGTAGTTCCATACATTTTCTAGGAAATAACAAGTTATTTATGTTTATGGCTACATAAAACTCCAGGGTGACCTGTGTGTGTGCGTGTGCATGCACATGTATGCACATGTTTGCGTCTGTAAATTCTAAAGTTTTATTTATCCATTCATTTGCTGATAGACACCAAGGCTGACTCCATAACCTGGCTACTGTGAATAGCATGCCAATGAGAATGGATGGGTAGATGTCTCTATTGAGTGTGGATGAGATTTCATTTGGTAGATACCCAGGAGTGATATAGCTGTATCAAAGGGCAGTTTTATTTTAGCTTCATGGGAACCTCCATGTTTTCTGTTCTGACCAAATGATTCCCATCCCCACCAACAGTATGTAACTGTTCCTTTGTCTCTGTATCCTTGCCAACAGTTATCCTTTGTAATAGCCATCTGATTGGAATGAGAAGGACTTTCCACTGATAATGTTGATTTTAGTATATTTGTTGGCCATTTCTCTTGAGTAGTCTGTTGAGACAGTTTACTCATTTGTTGATTGGATTACTTGTTCTTTTGTGGTTATGGACTTCAAGTTCTTCATATATGGTTCATATTAGTCTTCTGTCCACATAAATGGCTAGCAGAGATTTCTCTCCCATCTTTCACGCAGGAACAAGGAATTCCTAACTGATGCTGGGGAATGGACTGATGACACCTAGCAAACTAACATAAAAAATTGGTTTTTTCATCCAGATAAAGTCTCTCAGGAAGGATTGAAGAACATGAGAAATGCGAGACAATGATTTACATGTCATAATATTCCCCAGTTTTTACTGCAACAGTCCATTTTGAAGTGAAATTATACTTACACCCTCAGAAGCTGTGGGACAGTGATCTCATACCCTGTCACTTGTATTGTTTTAATAAAATGTTGATTGGCCAGTAGCCAGGTAGGAAGTATAGGTGGGGCAACCAGGCAGGAAGTAGAGGTGGGACGATGAGAACAGGAGAATTCTGGGAAGAAAACAGACTCAGTCTGCAGTCGTCACCCAGACACAGAAGAAACAAGATGAGAATGCTTCGCTGATAAAAGGTACTAAGCCACGTGGCCGACACAGACAAGAACTATGGGTTAATGTAGGATTTAAGAGTTAATAAGAAGCATGAGCTAACAGGCTGACCAGATTATGATTAATGTAGACTTCTTTGTGTTTCTTTGGGATGGAATGGTTGTGAGACTGGGCAGGACAAAAATCTCAGTCAACACTCAGAGACATAGTCTAAGAACTGGAAAATAAAACATTCACCAGTTACATAATTTTAAGACCTATGATTTATCCACACCACCTGAAACACAGTGTCAAATTTTTGCACCATGAACATTCTGTATTTACACTATTTCATTATAGCTATGTGTTGAATGTGTTCCCTGACCATAGTAAATGCCTGATGATTGGTAGCTGCTTTGCTAGCTCTCTTTGGGAATATCTACATTCTAATCTTCCTTGAACCTTAAAAAATCAGGATCATCTGGGCCTCTGTTGCATCGGGAATGGCCAGGAGTTTGGTTTGAAACTTGCCTGAAGCATATACTTCCTTCTCCCTCTGTCTCAGGAACAACAAAGAGAGGAGAGATGTAAGAGATGAAAGGCATGAAGGAAGCACGGAATATGGGCAGACTTAAGCAGTGCTCAAGTAAATGAGCATCTCCTGGAGGCTGGCAGGAAGGCTGGGTGCTTGGTGCTTCAACAAAAGGCAGGAAGCCAAGTCTAGGCTGTAAGTGTATTCCTGCCCTTCATGTCAGCAGATCACACTGCTAGTGTTATTATGCCCTTTTGGCAGCTCTCCACTGAAACACTGAGGGATGGGACATGCAACCCAAAGGCCAAACAACAGATATTAACAGATTCCCCTAAGGGAAGAGCATGGAAGACTATTTCATCCTGTTCTTTGTAAGATTCAAGCACCAGCACATCAAAACACTAATTGTGTAAATTGAAGAAATGTTATCTTAGTCTGTATCCTAGCCCCTACATATCTAACCTCCTCCCCAATAGATGAACTGTTGAAGGTATATTCAAGAAAGCACAATTTTAATTTGGGGTTAATGTAATCACTCTCCACACATAGCACACTCAAGCATCCTCTCTCATCCAGCAGAGATAGCTTTTGTGCTGTCCTTGCTCTCAGGGAGAAAATGGCCATCATCAATGCACTCCTGCTCAGGCGCTATGAACACATCATGTTATGCACCCCGAGCACTCTGGCGTTATCACCGCCATCGTAATGGCTGCTCTTGATGGAGTTTCACCATGATCATTGGTCTGCCTCGTGTCCCGCTAAACTGGAATCATGACTTAGAGCAGGGGACTCAGTCTCCCCGCTAGAGTACAATGGCAATAGGGAGCCCTGCCTCATAGGTGTGTTTTGCAGATTAAATATTACAATGCACATGGGTCTTCAGGCACATTC